CTTTACGAAGTGGTATATACGTAATTGCATCAGTTTTAGTACCTATTTAATTAATTTCAATCATGACAGCAAAAGATAAGGATGCTTGTTTCTTTTAAACTATTTGATGAAAACGTTACATAAAATTGGGGTTGCATAATCATCCGAAATTATTATTATATTTTTGACTGGAAATTACAGGATTTATGTAATTTTAGTTTAATTAATGTCGTATAGAACTGACTGCTCGTAAAAGTTTGCTTAAAACACGCGACTCAAAAAACCCCAAAATGGCAGATCAAGAAGTAGATCACGCGTGTCCTGATCTTTTTATATAGACCTTGGAACAGTCGGAAGCCCGGCCATTTTGGAACCATACGTAACATTAACCCTTATTTCTTTTACTACGATTACTAAAATTGAAGTTCATAATTTAATAATTAAATTATAGTGGTATGACATTTGTGCGATATAAAATTTTGTTTATATACGAGGCTTGCGTGAATGCTACTGAATGCTGCTTAATGGCTATATCTTATGCTCAATCGAAGAAAGTTAATTATTATATTCTGAACTCAACACTCTTTCAATTAAAATAAAACAATAACATTGACATTTGATTCATTTCCAAACAAAGCATTTGTTTACAGTCATATAACAACTAAGTTTATTAATATTCATAATGGGAAGAGGGAATTCACTTTCTGAAGGAAAAGTTATTAATTAAATTTTTATTATTTTTATCTTTGAAGATAACACATACCACTGAAAGTACAATGAAACAAGATATCAATCTGCGAAAACTAGAATTTTTTTTAGCCAGTTGAAATTTGATATAGTTATTTTGCTGCGTTTTAGATCAAATTATGTTAAAATAAATAGGACTATTTTCTAATACACAAGTATTAAATTGTAGAAAAATGAAAAAGTTGAACATATAAATATTGTTTTTTGATGCAATCCTCAGTTTTTCAGAATTTTAAAAGAAACAATGGCATCTGTGAGATACTTTGAAAGGAAACACCAGCATTGAAGAATTAAATATAAAGAAATATAAAAAAAATCATCTTAGAATGATTAAAATATATATAAATTGGGAAATATTTATTGAAATTTTGGTTATAATTATTTATATTTATTCCAATTTCTTCAGAGAATGGAATAAGGAACTGAAGCAAAGAAATCCAAGCATACTAAAAGCTTTATTACGATTTGTTGGATGGAAATACCTAATAATACTTTTACTGGCAATTATCAAGGTAATATGAGAACTTATTTGAAATATCTAAATCATGTATTAAAGTAATAAAATGAACTGATATTTATATATATTTACAGCATACAGTAGTAATTGGACTCCAAGCATATTTATTAATATTCACAATACATTATTTTGAGAACAGAGTGGAATGGAATCAATATAATGTTTATTTAATAGTTGCAGGATTTTTTGGCATAACTCTTATGTATTTGTTTACAATTAATACTTGTATGTTTATTTCACAATTATATGGAATGAAATTAAAAATAGCTTTTTGCACTGTTATATATAGAAAAGTAAGTATCAAATTTAATATATTATGAATACAGTATTACATTATTTAAACAAATTAACATTATAAATATAAATTGTTTTTAAATGCGAATTTTCGAGAAATTGATAGTTTTATTTTTGTCATGCAAAGTAATTTTAAACAAGTAAAACGGCAAAGCCGTATTTATGACAAGACTATGTCTAGGAGACTCACTACTAAGCGGGATCATTTCGATGCTCATGACCAGGGTTGCCACTCGCGACATATGAAAAAACTTGGGTCTGGATGGGAAAAAACCTAGATTATTTACCCAGAAAAATTAATGATAAAAATATAATTATAAATACTTTATCATAATACATTCATCCTGTAATAATTACAGACACCATAATACAAATTTAAAAAATTATTTATTACCTAATTTACACAGTAGTTAATGTTATTTCACAGCTACTCTGTTCTTCTTTTTCCATTAACAGTATTGCACAATCTTTATGCTCTTCTTGTCGATTCTTATACTTTTGGTCGCGAACTCCTTGTACTGCATCTCTAATTAGTTCAGGTTTGGGTTCATACAGCGAACATCTAAGATTTTTCCTACTAATTGCTAGTTTAGCAAGCAACCTGTTCTTTGATGAGTCAATAGTTAAATTAACCCTATTGTTTTTGAAATTGCTGTATTAATTAAAAATACACGTAAGCCATCTGAATTTTTAAGTAGCTGGAGTTAAGATGTTGCTGTTTGTGTCGCGATAGCAAATAATTGCGGGGTATGAATTTATAGCTTGAGCAGGTGCTTAAGTGTATCTGAGTGTTTTTCTTTGATGAGGTTTGATGTTTTTCTTTGAGCAGGTGCTTAAGTGTATCTGAGTGTTTTTAACTCCACGTGATTCAGGTTTCAGAGAATAAAGTACCACGTTTTTCGTTTTTGTTTATAAAATCTAAATTTTTTTTATTATTTAAGTAATTTTGTTTCAATAAATATAGAATGGCTTATATCATTATCCTGTTTCTTATGAGAATTTATCTTCAGAACCTTTGGAAAAAAATGACAATTTCTCCAATGACGACATTTTTCTTACTGACAGTTACTACGAATTAGATCACTGAGAATGCAATCAGTCCATGATAGTGAAGTAGATGCCAAAGAGTTACCGGCAAACACAGAATCATCTATCCTCAGATTCTGTATAATTTACTATGAAAAATGGAACCACCGAATGGTATAAATAACCAACGTTTATACTAGAAATGACTGTATAACATTACCGACTATTGATTTTTTTTCTGTTGATCTGTTGTAAAATATAACGTTTAGGTGCTTAACTTTTAAAAGTATAACGTAGTTTGATGTTTAATGAACTTTTTCTTAATTCTTCCCTATTATCTGACATTTTTGCTTATCCGACGTTTTGCCCGCCCGTTTAGGTTGGATAATCCAGAATCTATTGTATATGTAAAATCATAGTTAAAAAACCTATATTTTGGAAAAATTAGGAAAAAAAACAACCAAAAAATCAAGAGAAAGTCGAAAAACTCAGATGTGGGTTTTAAAACCAAGGAGTGGTAACCCTGCTCATGACTGGTCTCATTCTCCAATCTTCTTTGGTATCACTGGTTTTGAGCGCGATCTTTGAAACTTCTCCGGCCACGGCCACAAGATCGTCCACGATGCATTTTCGGTGAAATTAATCTATCCAATTTGGAAATTTCTCTCCGTTACGTGTGTTACTCCGGGTTGAATTTTTGCTGACACCTAACGAAAATTTCCCGTTTTTTGAAAAAATAATCGTGGCTATTGTTTCGTCAGAAATTATTTTATTATTTTGCTCATATAATCTATATACTGTATATTAATAAATGCAAAAAGAAAACAAATTACATTTCAGAAGTTAGTTTTAATTAATATAAAATTATAACGACGCTAGTTTCAAAAACGTTCCGATGATGAAACGAGGCATCTATAGTGAATCGGTTAAGGTCAGCACGTGGCGACCAGAAATATGTGGGGAATAACAAGGGACAGGTAAATGGGTTTTTCAAACATTTCTTTGTCAAAATTCGATTTAGCAACGTTCGCTTTTCAAATTTCCCAACGAGCAATACATACGCAAATCTCGCACTACTGCCTGTTTGTAGAGAGTGTTTCCATTTTGTATTTTATTTTGACTCGGTTCTCGGTCCCCCGAGTACCAACTAGTCTGTTTTTATTATGCTTGCATGATTTTGGGGCCTAATACTCTGTGCCAAATTGCAACTCCTGACATGTACTCCTTCATATCTTTATGCTGGTAAGACAGTAGGGAGTGCGATTTTATAAACAAGACATAGTCTTGTCAAAAATTTGTCAAGAAGTGACATTTTACTTTGCATTTTTAATATTTTGTAGTAAAAATTGCTTTAGTTTAAGTTTTTATTCAGTAGTATGTTTCGTTGTTTAGACACATACTACAGTAATACTCTGAAGTTATGTTACCTTAACTTTTCTCCTTTATAAAATCTTTTTTAAATATATCTCTTATATAGGGCACTACAAAGGTTAAATAGCACAAAAGTTTAAGTAAATAAACATAAACGAAATTACAAATAGCCCACACATTCACATAAATAATATAAGAGAATAATACAATTATAATTTAAGGGTTAAAATGATGACAGATGCCGGTTATGTACATTACAGAAATTATATAATAGTACTAATTGGGAGAAGAAGATAGAATTAACAATTAGTGATACATTAAATGACACATAGGCCTATAAAATCTTATCTGCAATATATGTAAATTTATGGCATTATACCTAATATAATAGCTATTCTAGCCCAGCTTCTGTTTTAAATTAAACACAAAGAACACATTAACTCTAGGGTGGTAAAATCAGTTTCCTAAATGTTTTTCAGCTGTATTGACCAGCTCTCGTCATGTAGTTTAGGAATTTGGGCCAACATCAAACATTACATCAAAAGTTTTTAAATTGAATTAATAACAAGAAAAAAACAAGAATATTGAAAACGAATTTTTAAAATAAATTTTACAATAAATTAAAAATTCCAATTATTATAATAACAATAAATTATTCCAAAATTTAATACAATAACATAAATATGTAATATTTAACACTGCCCGGTATTGCTGCGCATATTTTGAATTTTGCACAGTATTGCTGCACAGGGATTCGTCCCAATTCCTTTTGTAATCGCGTATCTCCATGCTGTTAGAAATCGCTTTAATAATTGGAATTTTTAATTTATTGAATAAATTTGTAAAAAATTCGTTAACTATATTCATGCTTTTTTCTTGATGTTAATTCTGTTTTAAAATTTTTGAAGAAATGTTTGATGTTAAGTTGTTTCGAATTCGAACACTATTTGCTTGATGTTTCAGTTATTACAAATTACTTAAAATTTATGTTACGATTATATGTATTAGCCGGCCTTATGTCGCAGCTTATTACCATTCTTACAAAAGTACTTTTTAATCAGAGGTCTTCGTTCCCAGTCATTTTATAAGGCGCACATGGCCAGTCAATACCTTGTGCACTTGCAATAAGATGCAGTTCAAAGCGTTCCCGCTCCAGACTTGGACGTTCAAAAAATGTAGTGCAGTGGATAATCAGTCACACAACACAGCTCTCATCGATTTATTTGTTGAATGTGGAAGCGTACAAGATAGCTGGCAAAGCAGCCATGCCCTGTGAAGACAGGGCACCATGCCCTGTGAAGACAGGGCATGGCTGAACTGTACCTCCTCATGCATAAGATTGTTTTTAGATAGATGATTAATTTTCTTGATAGTAGTGAAAACGAGACGAGTGACTACTCCTGTCTTCAATTTTCTCGAAAAACTTCTGCCATAGATATTGATTAAACTTAAACCTCCAGTTTGATAATATTTTTTGTGAGAGTGGTAGAAATGTGTTCACCTAAACCATTTTAGGCTTCCTACCTAGCAAGGGTATCTGCTCTCTGGTTATAAAGACACTTTCATGCCCTCTAAATCAGTTCACTGAAAATTCGTTTATACTATTTACTATGGCCCAGCTTATTTGGTTGGCGATAGGGTAAATATTGTATATATTTTTTTGAGATAATAGCGGAGATGTAGAAGTCAGTTACATGTTCATCTTCTTGCATGTGATATTATGGTTACACCAGTTTACTGCACTAAGCAATGCGCTCAGTTCAGCTTGATGTACTATACTTGTTTGTTGAAGATTGATCTAAGAGTGTTCAATCTTCTCATACCTATTATAAACTACAAAAGCGCTACTTGTCTAGTTGTCCTGTTGGATCAATCAATGTACACACTGATGTTGGAATAATGAAAAAGCCGATTAGGAAGAAGTGGCTACAAATACACTATTGGAGTGTGGTCTGACAAACATGATAGATTCCTTCCAGGATGGGATGATACAATAGTGCATTGAAAGCAGGAACGTGTATGCTATGTACTAGAAGTTGTATTCGAGCCAGTGATTTGGTCTCTAGAGTGCTAGGCTGTTTGCTGCCAGGAGATGTAAAATACTAGTGAAGGTAGGTTTGTAAGCCCTAAGAAGAACAAACAGGGCATGTTGTTAAGCACTTATTAATCAGTTTCTATTGTATGTTTTCTCGATATCGTCTACCTGTACTGCAATATAATACAATACATGCAATACTTTTATTCTGCCTGAATAATACGATAATACAATACCAGTACTGCTGAGCATAATTGGCGGTAAGATATAATACAGGGCATTATATACATGGTGTTTAATAAACATTTTCATACATTGTGCCAATAGTATTTTCGCGAGTTGAGTAAACAAGCTTAAGCACGAAATAAAACTGATGCATTTAAATACCGAATAAAACATACGTTGTTTGTTTGGTTTGTTGTGCGATAGATACTAATAACTGACACATATTACAGAATGAGCATGAGACGAACATA